AAAAAAAAAAAAAAAAAAAAATCGGCTGCCGTCTCAACTTTCACTGGCCTTTGGCTAAACATCTGTAAGAAATGTACCAACCGTTAACGAAACCGGTCGCCGTCTACCTAGAGTAAATGGTGCCAAAAACGAAGCTAAAGTTTTGCGACTTAATCCACCAAAGGCAGATAAAGTTTTGCGACTTAATCACCTGATTGTGGATTGTGTGGTTAGTAAATTCCATAGCCATACTGTCCATAGCGCACAGTAAACTATGTGCTGTTGTAGCATTTTGGGGAAATTGACTCTCCTTTTTTCCATCCCAAACAAAATATTATTAATAAATCAACATGGTCCATCTCAGTCATCATAGCCAGTCACAATAGGCTAGGAAGTTTGTTTTCAACAGCAGACACACACTACAGAACGGAGTGCGTCAAAACGAGTGTTTGTTAATTTTTAGTGATAAAGAATCATGAAACGTCCTAGAATAGCTTACTTTTTTCGTCCACTGTTGCAAAGAAGAAAACGACAAATAGTCCTTTAAGGTGGGTTATTGATTTCAAAATCAATTAGCCTAGCCTAGATGTTGACTAGCTTGGTTCGCTCCTCGTTCATTTAGATACAGAATTATACCCCGACGATAACAAACTAGTGCAGGCTTAAGTACAGTAGGACGTACTACAGGTACTAGGCCTAGGTTTTTGTTGTAAATGTTGAAGTGCATGTACAAAATGCGCCATAGGCCTGTATTTAAAAAAAATTGTTAATATTGGTTGGCCTGGGACCGGGGCAGGCAGGCCAGCTTTACCGTCGAAAGTCCTGGAATTCGACGATGACGTCAGTGCACGTTTACAAACGCCATTGATTAGAATGAAAATAGACGCGCTGAATTTCGTTTTATATGAAAGATAGAATTTATCGAACATTTATCTATATAAAAACAAGATTAATATGGAAGAAATTGTATTTCTAAAGATGCATATAGGCCTAATTCATATTTCATATATATAACAAATTTCTTCCCTACAAATTGATTTTGGTAAGCTTAGCTGACAGCACCACCATATCAGTATAAGTAATACACTGGAATTCTGTACTCTGATCCTTGTTCTATATACTGAATGGTGTATGGTTTTGTATTTGCTCTGTAATGTGTTTTATTATGTTGGTTGATAGAAGATAGCAAGACGATTTATCACGGATAGATTTATTTGTATTGCAGGCTATAATTGTTTTAGGTAGCCTTCGTTCGCGTCCATCCATCCGATTATGCATCCATCCATCATGAGTGGCGCCATAATTTGCCTAACGGGGGTCCGAGATCCTCGACGACGTGAGGGGAGAGGGCGAAGGAAAGTGGGCGTGGTCAAGTCTTGCTGAAAAATGTTTAGAAAGTAGTCCAGTGGGCGAAGCCCCTGAACGTGTTGACAATTTAGGGGTTTCAAATGCTTATTTAATCGATTTTAGAGTAAAAAATACGTGTTTTTTTTTTCTCCGACGAATTGTGGTTTTTCTTTCTGACCGGGCAGGCTCTCCCCGGAAGGGGGAGGCTCCCCGACAGGGGACCTTTCCCCCCTCCCCGCTGGCGAAACCCCTTCCATCCATCCATCCTTTCATGTATTTATTCACTCATTCATTTATTCTTTATGCAGTTAATAACATAAACAAGAAAATACAAAACAAAGGAAATTTAACAAAATTGCCTCGTGTATGTTGTTTATTTTATTATAGCAGTATTGTAAAACAGCGGTACCACTCAGTCTTAATATGTTATCCTGTCTATCATGTTTTAATCAATATATAAATTAATGGTAATAATGAACATAAAACACACAGCTTACATAACATAAAACATACAGCTTACATGATTATACAGTAGTTCATTGTCTCATCAAATGTACTCAATGCATTATTTAACCAGAACCCTGCGGGTGGGTACGTTCCTTTGCACGTAAACGTAGTTTAGAGGGATATGTAGTCCAGTAATGGTTTCTAATGTTTTTACGTACACCTACACCCCCATACAGGTCCGTCCATCAAATGCTGTATATTTACATACCTGCCAACATTCGAATATCAAAAATAGGGACGCTAGTCATTGGTGACAAAAAATTAAGATGGCAATTATATCGTAATTCCTGTACAGTTGCTTCAAACAAAACAATAGTTACATAATTTCAAGTGTACTGTTTATTTACCTCACAACCAAGAAAAAATATTTAAGTTACATTTTAATCAGTAGGCTTACAGACTTCACCATGAAGGGGACGGTATGTTGCTTGTTTCGCTGGATCTCATTGGAGTCATAACGTCAATATTTATTCGAATGACACTTATAATCTCTGTTCAACATTTTCAGCTTGTGTGTCATTAAAGCACTTTAAGTTTTTGTTTTTTCAACAATAGAGAAAACTTTCTCAGTCACTACTGCTATAAAATATTACCATAGTTCCCCGGGTAGAATCCCACACCGACTTTACATCATGAAGGTTATCCCTGTCTCTTATACACATCTAGACC